AGTTGGAAGAATTGGAAGTATAATTTTGCATGTGAAATGACTAGTAGGAAGCAGTAAGTGATCATAGTGCCTGGGAAAAGGAAGGTAAAAGGGGAGAGATGCATTTGAGGGACTGGGGCGGGGAGGGGGGTGAGGAGGGAGGTCTGAAATGCATTCCTCCAGCTGCATGATTCTAATGAGCCTGTGCAAATACTGCTGAACACTTCTAGTGGTGTGGGAAGGTGCCAGAAGCATTCTTGCGCTCGCTTTAGCTAAAAAAAAAAAAAAAACAAAAAAAAAAAAACCCATTGCTGAACTGAAGTCAAAGGACAGGGCAATGACAGGTAACCTAACACCTGCTGTTTTTACACAGGTCGTCTAGAATACAGAACTTCAGTGGAAGTAGGGGAGACATTGTGCCTTCCAGGCAGGAACGCAACAGAAAGGAAGATTCTACTAGCGTAACTAGTGTATGTTTACTTGGGGTACTTCACCCCAGCTCCGAGGCATTCTTAAAATGCTGGGAGGAAAACTCCATTCCAAGGCCCCTCCCTTGGGAGTGGCTGCCGTACAGACTCCACCTCCAAGACAGCCTGCCAGATGGTGACACCTCCCCAGGGAAGGTCAAGACCACTCCCACAGGCTAAACCGTGGTCTTCTGGTTTTCCGTGATTTTTCGGTTCTCTGTTTCCCTCTCCGTGTTTTTCCTGGAGGAGGGGGACACCTGGGAGTGTTGCCATCCATTAAACCTGGTGTCTTCTAATTTGGTCTGGTTAAAATGATTTGAGTCTGCGGAGAGGTTTGTCAGTTAAGAAAAAATACTTACCAGTGTAGTCTTGTTTTGTTGTTTCTCTGCTTTTTAACCAGCCCAGCTTTCATGAGATAATCATGGGCTATAATGAATCAAAGCGAGTGTTCTGATGCTTTCTCCCCTAATCAATGTCTGCCTGTGTGTGTGTGCGCGCACACACACACACACACACACACACACACACACATATATACATACAGACAGACATGCATACATACATACAGACAGAAACAGAGAGAGATAAAGAGACAGAGAGCCAAGTCAGTCTCTACACCTGCATGGTGACAGATACCAGTCATTCATTCCACCCTTGGGGAACTGGTCCTGCCTGAGCTCCATGGTGAGACCCTGTCTTGACAACTAAAATGAGTCAAACAAACAAGAAATTTAGACATGAGTCCCTGGAGTAAGAGCATTTGGGGGGAAATCATTCATTCTTTAAGTCTCATCGTTCCCCTCAGAAGAGAAAGAGCCATAAGCACCCCACATGCTGCCAGCTTGGTCCAGCTAGGACATTGGTATCATTTTAGGAGACTTGCCTGCAGAGAAGAGCCTTTCTGTCCCTAGGGTTTTCCATCCGAAGAGCAGCACACTCTATCTGCTTCCTTTGTTTTCTCCTGGGAACGGCTTCCTAAGCCCCTCTCCTCTGCTTTGATTTGCCCGCCAGGCATGAGCCTCCTGGCTCTAGGTCAGTGGAGGCTTGGATTTTTGCCAGCCTGTGAGAAGGATTCCCCAAGAGCGTGCCATCAGAGGTGCTAATGAGTCTCTGCTTACTGTGACTGTGTGCTCCCCACAATCAGGACAGAGAGAAACACCTTGGAAAACAATTAGCTTTTCACAGCCATTAGCAATTTGTTGTCATTAACACCAAAGAAACATAGCACATAACAGGAAACCAACAACATTGTGAGTCACACCAGTGGCTTCTGAGGAGCCCGGGGCCTAGCAGGTCTGTGGGTGAGAGCGGGTTCCCTGTGCCCACCCACTCCAACCAATGGCCCTCTTGCTCCCTTCCATTCTATCTGTGTAAAGGGCTCACAATCTGTTTCGGTGAAGTGTACATTATCCAGAGAAGGCGTTCAGGGGATGCAGTGCATAATAAAGCAATTCCTAATTCCCACCAAGACCAGGAAATCCAAACAAGGCCAGGAGGAGCGCTGTGAAGAAGGAAATGGAAGTTGAGCGGAGATCCAGTGAGATGCGATGATTTAGCACCAAACCTCTCCACAGCAGCATTGCTAAACACCAGAGCCCTGCATCTTTCCCAAGAGAGGCTGCTGAAATAATTGTGCCATCCCCATCCCATGAATACGGACACCTTTAAAAACAGCATGTTAGGACTACAAACAGGCTGTGCTGGAAAAGGTTATAAAACACTAACAAATTATTCCCTTTTTATTGTAGAAATGGATACACATTAAATATCAACTCTAACAACCTGGGTACTATGGACATGAATGCCTTTTAATTTTATTCTCGCACTGTTTTTATTTTTTGTTTCTGAAACAAGTATATGTACTTGGGTACTCATTTTGTGACAGAGCAAGACAGTGCAGAGGTTCCTCCATCTTATATTCTTCCCGAGGCCATTTCAGGTTTATCTAGAATTTGATCTCCTTGAATATTGCAGAAAAATCATTCAACTCTATTCTAGGAACCAGAGGTCTAGATGTGCCAGCTAACTTAGCTTCTGTTAAACTGCTTTACTTACACACACACACACACACACACACACACACACACACACACACACAC